TAAAGTGTATACCATCCGTGGCCTGATAATCTTTGACAAGGGATGTGTCAGGATAATTATCATTGAAAATGTGTGAGTTTATTACACCTCAATATTAGCTGCCTGTTGCATGTAAGAACTGACTTTTAATCTGACTAGGACAGTTCATCTGTCTGGACATACAGTTATAATCTTCATTTTGTACGTGGCAAAGATTTGGAAATGGAATGAGAGCGGTGTCCTTCAGCTAAGAACAAAGTGTAATATTTTGATAAGGCTGGAGTCATGGGTGTCTAATCATCTACTAATGTGTATGATGTAAAATAAGATGATGTGGCAGACTGGAGATGTATAAAAATCACTTTTTAACTATTAATAGGGGGCCACTTCCTGGGAGGTGAGCCAGGAGGTGAGCAGCGGACATTCTGTACATTCTAAGCAATTTCTCTGATTTGAGTAAGATTACAATTTATATCAGAATCTGTTGTCATGTCTCCTGCTTATTTAATACATATAAGTTATGAATCGTTATTTAAAGAGTTTGTCCCAAGTGATTTCTTTTCAGGGAAAAGAAGCAGAGAGATAGAGCTTCAATGTGCATAAACAGAGTCTATCTTTAACAGATGAATAGATAGAGACTAACTTTAAAAATGTAAAATGGCAATCACTTGTATCAATGAATCATTTCTAGAACATTAACATAGTGAAAAAAAAGAAAATGTTGTAAGTACAATATCTGTAAGTTGTCAACAAAAAGTTTATCAGTTTAACATTACGAAAGCTTTTACTCAGTTAAAAGTTATATCTACAGTGCCTTTCAAGAACATTCAAGTTCTTTGAACTGTTTCACATTCACTCATTACAACGACATCATATTTATATCTGTGTATCAATAACTGCTGGATAATGATTTTGTAGGCCAAATAAAACTTTTATACCAAAAAATTTTTCCATTTATGGAGGACAAGCTCTACCATATTTAAAAACAAATACTGAAATAAATAAATGCTCAATAAATAAACAAGCATACAATTAATTGCCCCCAAAAAGACAATAAACAAACAAAATAAAAACAAATGAAACAAATAAATCAATGCTATTCGAGAAGGTGGATGGACCCTCTAAAAAACAGCCCTTCTTCATTTGCATAATATATCAGAAATGCATACAGAAATGTAAAAACGACATGCAGAAATAAATAGCATCAAAGAAATAAATAGGGTAAAAAAAAAATACAAAGGAAGAATTAAACAGACAAAAATATTATAACATGCACACAAATAAATACTTAAAAAATAAGTCATTATTAAATAAAGTTGAAGATTATAAAGGACAATAAGTAAATAAGGCATTTATTACAAAGTCGAATAAAGAAAGAAGCTAATTAAAGGAGATATATACATTTATGTCTCACTGTATAATTTAATTTCTACCTACATTTATTGGTTTATTGTATTTTGGGGGACAATTAATTGTTTGCTTATTTATTTATTGATCATTTATTTATTTCTGTATTTATTTTTAAATATGGTAGAGCTGGTCCTCCATATCCACTACGGAAGAGGATTAGGGCCACTGAAAAAAAGAAAAAAGTTAACTGATTTTTAAATTTTATTTCAGTTTAACATGGGAAAAAAGTCAGAATTCTGACTTTTTTCCCATGTTAAACTGAAAAAATGAAAAAAATTCTGACCTTTTTCCCAGAATTCTGAGAAAAAAGTCAGAATTCTGAGATTAAAGTCAGAATTTTGAGGAAAAAAGTCAGAAATCTGAGATTAAAGTCAGAATTCTGACTTTTTTCCCATATTATACTGAAATAAAATTTTAAAAAATCTGTTAACCTTTTTTTTTTCAGTGGCCCTTATCCTCTTCCGTACCCATCGGTCAAAGTAATACGTGTTTTTATTTAATTGATTAATTTTTCCGCTCAATTTCTGTTTTTTTTTTCTAATAGAGGAAAGAAAACCTGTAATCCCTTGGCATGTGCTTTTATTTTGAAAAAACACGTCACAGAGGAAGTAAACAGTAATCATGTTACAACCCGGAAGCAATGCCTTTCTCTGAATAACGTTAGTATAGCAAAAAATGAGCACTATATATATTAGAAATAGCTGAATAACGGTAGAGCTGCAGAAGTCTTTCGTCTGTTGATGGTTTTACTTGTGTGCTAATCTCTGGTCTGGAGGCGGCAACGCCCTGATGCCCTCGGGGAACAATCCCCTCGCTCTGTTTACAACCAGTCCGTTTGGAGAAGCTGCTTCCCCGCAGTGGGTCGTTAGCTAAGCGGTGCTGCCGTGAGTGTCGTTTAGAAGGGGGGAAAATGGCTGAACTGCATGTGGTGGAACCGAGTGGAACAGCGACTATAGAGCAGCCCGATCATCGAGACGTTCGGGGCTCGATGCGCTTAGCTTCGCCCACTCTCATGGTTCCTCCGCGGAGCAGCAACCAGCTTAGCCCCGGCAGTGGATGCAGCGGTAGGTCGGTGTTCGGTTTCCCGCTAAAGAGCAACCCGGGCTCACCGTCCGAACCGTTAGACAAGCCGGGCTCACGCTGGGTTCGGCTTAACGTTGGTGGGACCTACTTTATTACGACCAAACAGACATTATGTAGGGATCCAAAGTCTTTTTTGTTTCGATTGTGTCAAGAAGACCCGGACCTTGATTCAGATAAAGTAAGTGGGATTAAATGTTCTATATTCTATTCTTTTTTTATTTTATTGGAACAGTAAACTAACGGTAAAGGCTGGTCAAGCAAGCCCTCAGTGGCTTTTTATCGGTCACGCATACACTATGAAATACGGTACCAACGCTGGTTTGGACTTTTCAAAATAAGACCGTCCAACTTAAACTTCTTTGGTCTATAAAATATTTCCTATGCGGTTCTGTGAATATGGATACATAAATAATAATTCAGTGTTTTTTATTTAGTTTTTGTTTTACATGGTTAATTTGTGCACTTAATTTCAGAAGCCTAATTTATTTCACCTAAGTGAAATAAATTAGGCTTTGGTTGTTAAACCAAAACTTTGTTTCCAGTTACTGATCACTTCAGGTTGATAAAAATCCCCCTACATGCTTCTCAGATTGTATAATCTAGATCTGATGTGGAATCTCCAAATTATATCTCCAAATATCTGTGACTATTGCTCAGAAATTCCCTGTTTCCAGTTACCGATTTCATTTCAGGGTAATAGTAGGGCACCCCTGGATACTTCTCAACAGAGCTCAACAATGGCTGATGTGGAATTTCAACTTAAAGCCCCTCAAAAGAGGGGATGACACCAGGCCAGCTCAGAGACATAGTCCCTCCAGCGTGTCCTGGGCCTTCCACGATGCCTCCTCCCAATGTTTGAAGTCCATTGCCAAATAGACTGGCTGAAAGATGGGGGGTTAACGTTCTGGATGCACTAATTTAGTAGTTTTTGTTTAGCTGTACATATTTTAGGTCCTGTTTTGATTCCTGGTTATTGGTACAGTTTGGAGGAGGACTGTGGCTGTAACAGGGTTTCCACAGGTCAATAGAAATCAATAAAAGTCATTAAATTGTTATTATTTAAAAATAAAGGCCTTAATTGGCATTAGAATTCATTAAATATGATTATCATGGCATTTAAAGTTTATTAATTATAAATTATATCAGATATAACTGATTCCGCATGTTTGCGCAGAACTGCTTCTGGTTGATTGTAAAGCCGTATTTTCAGAAAAGAAGCTTGAGGCTGAGAAAAGGCTGGAGAATGAGAAATTTCATTTTGATATTCCATATTAGACCTTGATGACTTCTTGTGAGAAACATCTAAAGGTGCGCTAGTTTCCCCCGAAGTGAAATTGGTAACTGGAAACAAAGTTCTGGTTTAACAACAATTGAAACTCAGGTGCAATAAATGGGCATTCTGAAATAAAGTGCACAAATTAACCATGTTAAACACTAAACAAATAAAAAATATTAAAATAATTCTCATATATCCATATTCACAGAAGTACATAAAACACTTTTAGACCAAAGAGATGTAGATAACTAATTCTATTTAATAAACGTTACATTTGTCGGTTTTATTTTGAAAAGTCCAAGCCTGCTTTGGTACCGTATTTCATAGTGTATGCCAGAGCTGCCAAGTTTCAGAAAATGACAAGAATGAGAGTTTATAGTCATGTTTGGCCAAAAAAAAAAAGAGCCTTTAAGTTAATTTCCATTTATACCTTGATTTGTTACCTCCATGCCAGCTGCTCTCACTGCATTGTGGCAATTTAATGTTAGTCTCAATAAACCAGAAATTAGAAAAGAAACAGGAATTTTGACCAAAATTTGAAAGCTGTGGTGATTCCAGGAAATGGTCACAGGGGTGACCAGGCAGGGCCCCGTGTGCTCTGAGGGGTGCCCCAACATTAATAGGCATCGAAACCAGTTCTGGGTCAATTATGTTGATCACAATGAAACTGCATCTGTATTTTCCAAATAATTCACTGAAGATATAGCAGATTTTAATGAGGCTATTGCTAATAAATCTATGCACATATGTACAGTATACAAGTATGCTGTTTAAATGAATGTATGGCTCTACATAACATAAACATTAAATGGGACAAGCAGCATGAACTCTATAGTAGTCCTCTTTAATTGTTGTATATTTCTGTAAATAATTAATTGCTGTATTCTTTTAACTTTTTGGTTGATATACTAACCTTTAAAAATGTTTAAGTAGCAGAGGTGGAAGATGTGGAGCCATCAAGTCATCTGTATGTCATGTATTCTTTCTGCCCATCAGCTGAACCAGATGAGTCCAATCTGCACAATTGAATTCACTGTGCAGATTGGACTCACCTGGTTTGGTTTCTGGGCAGAACAGATACATGATATTGGGTGTGTTCGATTTTAGCGGCTGCGTCCTTCAAGGACCCGCTCTACCTGGGCTGGGTTCTTCTTCTTCTTACAGTTGACTCAGCTATAGTGATGATCTGATGGCTTCACATCTCAAACCTCTGCAAGGCAGGATATTTTACGTGATGGTATCACTGCTGCCACTTTCTGGCTTAGACGGGAACTGCATGTTCCAGAGGTTTGAATTACTGTACATCCCAGAGAGAACAGCAAATCACCTGGCAGGGTAGGGGCGTGCTTTTAATAGATTTTCATGCTATTTCCTACGCTTTATAGTTGCAGTTCTTTTCTGGGGCTTCAGCCATAAGCGCTTGGTCTTTGAATTATCGTTTGCATGTTCCAGATTAACTAAACCATGTTTAATTTACCTTAGGAATCAACTATTTTCTCAATACTTAGTCTTTTCAGAAACTTCTTAAAAATTGTCTCAAAAATCTACATAACCCATGCAGAGTATGTATTAAACTAAATGTTAGAGAGAATTTTAAGCTCAATTTTATCTTTAACTTAAAAAAAATAATACCATATGTTTTTGTTTGGTGGTATAATTTTCTATGATGCTGTTCTGCTGAAAGCTGATATTCTTTAGTGGCAAACCTCTCCATTTTCTCTAAAAAAAAAACATTAAATTAAACTATTTTTGCAATTACTTCAATCAGCTTCCCATTGTTTTTTATGTATGAATTCACATAAGAAATGCAGGTTTTAAGACCTCTTGACCTGTCTCAATTTCTAAAATTCACATACATGATCTTGGCATTGATCAGCAGATATTCTTATACCCAGACTTTAACTGCATGTGCATGCATGCTTGGGCTTAATGGTAGGTTTGGGTTATTGTTAGTGGTGGTCGGTTCTTTAGAAAACCCAGTTGGGACTTGAAAAGGGGACATATTGGCTAGACCATGTGGTTTGAACAGTAACTTGGCGTCGGATCTCGGAAAAGGAGATCTCACCATTCTAGTCTACCCTGGTCCTTTTAAGAACATGCAAAAAAAAAAGAGTCAAAAGGTGCTCCAGTAAATTATTGGGGAAAATTAAAAGATTTTCTACTTTTTTTGCCTCATAAATGTATTGAACATACAAACTTGATACCATTACCCATCTTTATTTGGTCCTCATGACCATACAGACACCATGCAGTCCATTTATAATGCTTTTTAGAGCAAAAACACAGATGGTTGCTGTTGATTACAGGATGAGACTGGAGCCTACCTTATCGACAGGGACCCCACCTACTTCGGCCCCATCCTGAATTACCTTCGACATGGAAAGCTGATCATGGATAAGAACCTGGCTGAGGAAGGTAACGCAGAAGAGCATCTGTCATTGAACGCTGCCATCAATTCGATCATCTTCTTACACGCACTTATGTTTTCAGGCGTTCTCGAAGAAGCCGAGTTCTACAACATCGCCTCCCTGGTCAGGCTGGTGAAAGAGAGAATACGGGACAACGAGAACCGAACATCTCAGGTAGGGTGAGACCAAACAGGCGACGGCAACCAATCAGCTAAATATGCTCATCTGTGGTGAAAAAACAGAAATAATGGTGTGCTTGCTTTCGGACGATTGTTAATGTGTGTGTGCCTGTGTGTGTGTTCCTCAGGGCCCTGTGAAGCATGTGTATCGAGTACTGCAGTGCCAAGAGGAGGAACTCACGCAGATGGTCTCAACCATGTCGGACGGTTGGAAGTTTGAGCAGGTGTGGATAAAGAGGCTTTCTTTTTGGCCTTTTTTGTCGATATTGCTTCAAGATTTTCTTCCAGTTTTGAACCAAAATAAGTGAACTCCAACATTTCAAGGCATTTAGAGGTTATGCCATATATACTACAGGAGTTTTTACGACAGTGATGTCAAGGGTAGACGTAAAAAAAGAAACACATAAAAGTACAGCTGTTTATCTCTTTCTCTTCAGCTCATCAGTATCGGCTCCTCCTACAACTACGGAAACGAGGACCAGGCGGAATTTTTGTGTGTCGTTTCCCGGGAGCTCAACAACTCTACAAACGGCATCGTTATCGAGCCGACGGAGAAAGCCAAGGTTAGTGTTCAGAAGTTTTATGGAGGAATATATAGATAATAATTATCCGCTTTAATAAAAAAAAAAAAAATTAAGAAATGTCCTGTTAAAAAACTAAATACCAAATTGGTTCTCTGGTGAGGATTTCATACTACTACATTCTACTTAAAATAACCCATACTGGGGTTGACATTAAGGATTTTTACCACTTGCCTGACTTTCACATTTCATTTGCCCAGAAACAATTTTTACTTGCCCAGTATAATGTTTGATAAATATAGTTCCTAATATTCATTTTTGTATATATATATCAATGAAACATGTTTGTTTTTAAATGTTTTTTGGATGTTTAGCGAATGGATGAGGATGGGTGGTGGGTAAAGAGGATCTCCGATGCTAAATGGGTGGAGGGTAAAATAGGTGGTGGGTGTGTTACTGTACATACATTTTTTTGCCTTGTTGTTGTTTTTTTAGCCTGCCAAGTCGAAAAAAATGTGTCTGCCTTTTTCAAATCACGCGAGAATGTGTACAAAACAACAAAAATGGCGCCGACAGCAGTTTTGGGTTGTTTTCTTGAGTGATTGTGAATGTAGGTGATTTTTGAGTGCTTATGCGAATAAAATGAAACAGAAACTCAGGTACAATAGCACTTTCTAGCTTTTTTGTCGTTTTGGTAACTACATCAAAATTACCGCTAGGTGGACAAAACTCACGCCATCTGTCGGAAAATCACCCGGCTTTTTCAAATCACGTGAGAATGTGTACAAAACAACAAAAATGGCGCCGGTTACGCTTCTGGGTCGTTTTCATTGAATGTCGGTGATTTTAAAGTAATTTTGAGTGATAGATTTTTTTTTTTTTTTTTTTGCGATCGTTGCACTTGCCCAGTTGGGCAAATGCAATGAAATCTGTACTCTCCCAACAATAAAAACTACTTGCCCCGGGAGATCGGGCGATGGTTAACATCGAGCCCTGCCATAGGTTTGTCAGATTACAAATGTATGATTACTCAGCATTTCAGTCTAGCACTCTTACATTGTGTGTTGTGATCCTGACTGATGAAGTTTGTTAGTGGGGTTAATTTTTTTTTGTTTTTTTTTTATTCATTTATGTCACATTTCACATAATTAAAACAAAATACATTATAAGAAAATAAAACAATATGAAAGTGTGTGTTAGAAACCTAAAAATTCTGATATAAAGAGCCACACACTAGTTAATAAATTTTTCTTTTATAGCGCATGTTGAAAAGAATATATTTTATTTCATTAAAAAAGAATTTCACTTTTACCAAAAGGTTAGGTTGTAAATAGGTTATAATTATTCAACATACAATAATTTTACTATTTGTATTGTACTGTCCTAAATCTAGTTAAATTTTACAATATATATTATGAAGCAAATTGATTTTCAGACTTTTTTTGCAGCTAAATATTGATGATCGTTTCATATTATCTCCATACTCAGTCCGTAATATTGCTACATGATATTTTAATGAAAATTGAAGTTAAAGGCATAGTGGAGGATTTTCCACTTAAAAAAAAAATGCCCATGCACAACCCTGTACCTGCTGCAGAGAGAGAACGCTTATTAAATGCGTGTTAGAGCATGCAAGAGCCCATCTCTCCTTGTGCGCACTCTCTTTAAAAGTTGCTGTTTGCATAGCTCATACAAGCATAATTACTAAAACTGTGTGATGTGCTGAGCTTTATCTTACACACAATATTACAGTAAGTTAAATCTGGACAAATCAGCATATACCGGTAATATAGGCTAAACATTAATTATCTACATAAATTCCAATTATTTTAATTTCACAGATACCTTATTGCTGACAAATTCTATTCAAATTGCTGTCTCCTTGCAGATATATTTAACTTTATAAAGATTTAAAAAGATCTCAAAATATTAGACGCGATACGACCTGTCAATCAATCATGGAAGTTAACTGACATGCTCATTTTGGTCACAAAATCCGTCTATCGAAAGGCTAAATGTCATCATCTGGGATTATGCAGTTAATGCACACATTATCTGATCTATTTAGAGGATGGAAAACAGTTTATTATATTCCCAAAATCAAAAAAAAAGTCTTAAAAAATGTGAAAGATGAACAGGCAGGCTGTGAGCAGCTGAACATGAAGGTTATAAATAGGAGCTAACAGTTGTTAGCCTCTGTACGAAGGTAACAAACAGTTATAATGGTTATGGTTAGTTTAAAAAAGCTTGATTTCCTTTGGAATGATAAAAAATTTGGTTATAAACAGAATTACCTGCAATGTGCTGATACACAGCCTGATTTATAAAATGCTTCAGATATTCACTCTCCTCCCGTTTATCTATTTTATTCACCCACCCGCTTTTATAGTTTTAAAAGGTTTCAGAATGACTTCATCCGTCTCTGGAAAGTGTGGGCATTATTGCAGATTTATGCGTTTCTGCCTTCAAGTAATGATACTCTACTGACTTGATGCCCAAAACAATTACCGTATGTCTCTTGTCTTTGCCTGAAGGTGTGCTGAACAGGCAAAAGGCCTCATTAAATGCCTATAAAACTATCCTACATTTGTCAGTGCTTTGCTCAGCCTGGCTATCTTCCAGTTGGTGTGACGTTGACTTAAAATTAACCATTTCCCTTCATGAAACAGAATCAGATCGCTATATGCTAAAGGAAATATCCAGAAACCAAAATCACCAGACCAATAGCAGGTTTAATAGTGGGTGTTTAGAGAAGATATCTGACTCACTGGAAAAAACAAAACAAAAAAAATACATGAGGACATTTTTTGTCTTAAAGGTGAATGTTGGAGAGACAAGAAAAGATTAAACATTAAGAAAAGGCCCTGATGCAGAATGTGAAGCACATTGTGCTTTACAATTTGCTGCAGAGCCACCAGGCCAGCTCACAATCATTGAATCAATTAGTAATAAGATATAATAAGAATATACTTTTTTGATCCAAAGGAGAAATTTGTTATATGTTGACAAGCTACTCCATCCAAAATGTTCTATCTTATAAATAAATAGGTAAAATAAAAGGCAGAAAATATATTAATAAATGCAAATAAAAATCTGTTAATCTAGACAATAAATCCAGAGAAAATTAGATTAAATGACTTAAACTGGCATTGTAAAGTCTGATGGCCACATAATTTTACCTCGTAAAACCAGAAATGCTGTTTTTTTTCTGTTTTCTTTAATTATTAAACAAAAAAAAATATATAGCTAAATAAACCAAAAATAAACATCAATATATGTACATTTTATAATTTAGATTTTATTTAATATTTCACTGGGGGTCCTATGTCTTTTTTTGACTATTACGATTTCAGCATAAGAGCCCTACTGCAGCAAAAACAACTAAAGCTGGTGCGTCCAAGTTTGATTTAAAACCCAGGGTATCTCAATACCTGGCAGGAATGGAGTCACTAAATGATCTTTCAGAGAGAAGCACCTTGCATATGACAGGGTTCCTACAGCATAAGGCAAGTTAAATTCGAGACTTTTTATTGCCACTTGAAATAAAAATTTAAGACCAAATTCACAAGAAATACAAGAAAAACCCGCTTGCGACAACTTTACCCAAAGGTTTATTTTAACATTTCCCACTGCACTAATGTTTTAAATTTTGAAAAGCTTCTCATACAGGAAGAAAGCTAAAAACACACAAATGAAAGATATATTTGAACAATTATTTAAATGAATTCACAATTTTTGTTTAAGAAGGGAACAAAACAAATCAGTTTTAAAGCCACAACATAACCAGTGCTAAGTCTTTTTTGCAGCTAATTTTCTTTGTATCGTTTTCTTGGTATGTTTGATTTGGTGATCAGTGGAGGCGTTGCAGAGACAAGGGTGGAACTAAACTGAGAAATACCGGCTGTTTGTCGGTAACTCGATTTTGACGCTTTGTGTTTCGTGCTTCGCATGTGCGACTCCACTGCCTTAATTCCCATTGTTCCGAGCTTGAATTGCTTTTTGCACAAAATCCACTAAGCCTCATGTATGTTCCCTGGTTTTAGCCATGGAGAAAACTCTTGGCTGGAGCCAATTTTGGTTACATTTACACTTGCATTTACACAGTTTTATTTTGAAGAATTCAATGCCTTTTAAGACTTTTTAAGGACCCACGGGAACCCTGTACTGTATGATGCCAAAACTGAATGTTTATTTTAATGAAACTTTTATTTTCTAACCCTCAGATCCTTCAAGAACGAGGCTCCCGGATGTGAGGAGACGCCGCCTCAGAGCAGAATAAGAGCACCATCAAAAACAGAAGCGCACACACCCGTTTTCATCATCCATCCTAGGACGGCAGCGATCAGTCAGCTCCCCTCTCCTCCGGCGTGCCTTTCTACAGCGGAGGCTCCGCCTGGCTCCTCCTCCTTTTCACTGTTGCAAGGCGGCCCCTCCTTCCTCTTCTCCTTCCTTCTCCTGTTTAAAGATGCGACAAGTGAGGGATACTCCTCTGCGGTTCAGGATGCGACGATGAATCTGTGTTGATCTAATTGGATGGATGCAAAGAATAAAACTTTATTTGCTTTATCGGCTTTTATCAGATAGGATGTTCGCCGTCTGTCACAGATTTTGATCAATTGAGCAGAAACTCCTCAGGACCCTCTCGCGAGTATGAAGGAAATAAAAGGACTCCATTTTTATTTTAGAGGCAAACAGTGGCTTGAAGAAGCAGATCTCCTCTTCTAGACTCCATGGCAGGTTGAGGTGGAGGCAGAGCGGCTAAAGGCAGCATCTTCTAGAAAAAGAACAAAGAGACATTCATCCATCTGTGCAAATCGGGAATATTTCGACACAAAAGAAAATAGATGACTCCAAACATACCAGAGGTCCACTAGTGCACAAAGGTGTCCAGGCATGTAAGGAATCCATATTAAGATTTATATAGTAATCATGGTGAAAATATAAGAAATTTCGAATGCGAATGGTGTATTTACTGATTAATGTATCATAGCTGTCCTATATTTACATATTATTGTGGGTGAGTGTATTTAAACGGGGGGGAAAAATATCTGTATTTGTTTCCAGATTGAACATCCATTAGTGAACATGGGTGTGAGTTTGTGCCTCCCTTGTTTCTCTCACATTTATTTTTTTTTTTTTTTGCTTTCGGCTCCAACCTTTCTGGGGTGTTCCTGAACCTAAAAAGAAAATTTCAAAATAGTATTAGAATCAAAAGTTCCTACTTAAAATGAATGGATATCTAAATACTGTATTTAGGGATGAAAAAAAGTTTCCTTTTTCACCATTTGTGCATAAAGGTTCGAGTCATGGCCAGTCCGTAATCTGCCTCCTTGTGATATATTTTTCGTACAGATATTCACTGCGTCCTGTTTTCATTTCTCTGCTTGACGACCAAATGTTCCCTCGCAGTCTGCAGCACGTGTAGCAACCGTTAACTGTTCTGTTCTCGCAAAAACCCTCAGAAGCCTAACCCCTGCACTGAGGCGGGGGCTTTGGAGTTAGTAAAGCAAACTTACCACAGTGGGAGTTTTATCAGCTTAATGTCAAGACAGCCTCTGTAATCTTATGTTTCTTTTATTTTTTTTGATCAGGGCATCCAGGCAACCACTTTCTCTTGAAATCTACAGTTTTATCTCATTGAATTCAAGGGTCATTGGAACGTTCTTTTTTATTTTATATCACTTTATTACACAGTGATATGATTCCAAGTGACAATTCTGTTTACTTTGATTATCAGTGGCTTGTAGCCGTATTTTAAAAACCCATAAAATCATAACACGGTAATTATTCTGTACAGTCATGAGGATAATTATGAATAGACCAGTTGAAAAATACAGCAGTTCACACATAAGTTCATTGCGAAGGGTGGTGGAACAGAAAAACTTAATCTGTAAAAGGAAGTTAAATCAAAGACCAGGTTGCTTTTAATGTGTTCTTCTGTCTCAAAACATGGCATGACCCCACTATTCATTACTGATTTTAGGGACTTCCCATCATGCCTCAAGCTACTTTATTTCTGTATCTTTGTCCAGATTCCAGTATCTTCAATTGATAATGAATGGCAAAATTCCAATTCAATATGAAAATAAGACTTTGGACCACAAACCAACTTCTGCCATTGTCCTTGGCTCAGGGGTAACTTATAACACCTTTGCTCCCTGTCCTGGTGAAGCCCTTAAACCGATAACTAAGAATCTCCTTCAAACTCTTGAATTTTGTGGGGTTATCCCTTCTGTTTTGTAGCCCTTTTACTACCACATTATTTTTTTTCCTTCCACTCAACCTTCCATTTTATATGCTAAGATAAACCACTTTAAACAACCATGTTCTTGTGCAGGGAACATTTGTTTCTTACCGTTAAAGGCTGCCAAAAACTCCTGATAACTGTCAAAATGTTTTTTTTTTTTGTCTCATATTGATTTTTTCTTTCTGGGTTTTAATTGGGTATAAAGCTAACACATATAAATATAAGATTCAGGGCTTTATAAATCTGGGTAATTTTCATGCTACCAGACAGTTCAAAGTTATTAATGCTATTTCATTTCCACGTTTATAATTTAGAGTTTGTATCTCAGACTTTGCGAAGGAGAGGTACAAGAATACAGAGCAAAAAATTAGTGGACAGCTTAGCAGCAGAAGCTTATACAATATCAAACCCAGCGTAGCCATTTATCAGGTGAAAATGTTTTAAAATATATACATTTTAACCTTTTGACAACATATATCTGATGTTAGAAATTATAATAATTTTAAATTATAATTATGATTATTTTTGATAACTCCATATATATATATAATTTTCTTTCCTCTAAGGATTTCTGCCTAATGAATGATTCTCGTTTGGGTCAATAACCTGGGGAAAAAATAACCACAGTATCTATTCACAAAGAAGATTTAAAACAAATGTACAAAAAATAGCTGTCATTGCTTTTATGTATTTAAAAGAGAAAAAGCAATATTTATACCAAATGCTGCTAAAAGTATGGCCTGTACTTCAGGTCTACAAAATTTTTAAAATTTGAAGATTTTGATTTCGAAGCATAGACTTAAGCTAAATCCAGTAGTTTGGAAGTCAATGTGCATATTTGCTGGTTATCATACTATCTTGCTGTTCTACCCTTCAAGGGAAAACATGGCAGCCTTGCTTTTTCAACCAACTGACCAACATTGATCAAAAACAGGTGGGGGAGGGGTTGGATTGTGATATGCGACTTAAAGCTGGACAAAGCTTTGGCTTATTTATTTATTTTTGTTGTTGTTTTAAAACTTCATTTAACTGAAAATAGTTAAGTTTCCATTTTTTCGTCCGTATACCTTGGTTTGGCCTATGCCTGCTTACTATATCATACATTAAGTCTTAGTCATTTTGGAAAACCATTAAGATTTTTATAAAGAAATCTAAATTTGAACCTGATTCTTCATATTGTTGATTTCTTCTAATAGTTTTATGGAGGTTTCACTCTACATAATATCACTGATATTTATTGCATAATCATGGCTGGCATTCATCGCCTTTGTATTTCATCTTTTGTACGGTAAACATATTTATTGCATTTAAATTAAGCATGATCAAATAAGGTGCATCCTGGTGAGGAAAAGACGAACCAGTTTGTCGTGCTTCTTGAGCGTGTTGAGTCAAGCCTCAAACTTTGAGGCCACTTTGTCTTGTTTTTATTTCCTTCTTTCTTGAGTGTGTGTGCGTTGTGAAGCTATATTCTAACGGTAGTTGTGAGCAGACTGCCTGCTGATAAAAAGTACCCAAATATTTCATTAAGAAGTACTTTTTTCTCTCTTGTTATCTGGGTCCTTGCGGAGCACCTTTGCTGATGCTTTCCTTTGTCTGTGTTCAGTGTTGTGCCTTTCACCTGTGTTGTGCACAGTTGTTCTCCCCTTTTATGAGACGGTGCTTCTCATGGTTAAAATGAAAAAACAAAAAAACAAGAGGATCCTACCCGAGTTTAGTGTGTGCAGTGATTTTAGCCAAACAAAACTCATAAAATAGGTGATCTGGCTCTCCTCCCAGGGCAACCCTCTGCAAGGGGCAGCAGATGCCTAGAATACAAAGTACCAGTTGTGCCCCAAGCAAGTTTTTTGTGTATTTGCATGTTTAGCCAGACACATTTTAAGACTTCAGAGAAAATATGGTTGGTTGGTAATACCAAAAGGTTACACCAATCTAGACCTCATGATGTTTAATTTTTTTGGCAAAAAGAAAACTTCAGATGAAGGCAAGCATTAAACTATATACATAAGATTGATCGTAACTTGACGCAATCATTCTAAATGTGATCTTAGGAATTTTTCATTAAATTTGGTTTCTAAAAACTAGTTTAGGGGGAAAAAAACAAATTCATATCTCATTTTTAAAAACAATATTATAAAGCTTCCATACATATCAAATAGTGTTTGAGATTATATACTATTGTTGAGCCTCTAAGTTTATGTTGAATAACACATTTGAAGATTGACCAGTCTTTTTGATTGCAATCTTGACATGATACAGTATTCGATATAAAAATATATATATATCCCTTTAGTTCAGTGCTAATCCTCATGAAGAAAAGGCTACTGATACCTTAGATTATTTAAGGTCTAATTTTTTACAGAAAATGAGATCTAACTCTTTGTTGAATCGAGTTTTCACCCATATTTGGTGTAAAAGTTTTTAATTATTATTAGTTATATTTGCAGGGCTACCAAAGGAATTGATATACAGCTATTCCACTTTACAAAGAAAATTATCTTCTGCTGGTATCTTAGTAAAACTATATGGGGCAAAAATCATCAATAATTTAGATGTTCATGATTAATATTCAAACTGGTAAAGTCATGGATTGATTAAATCTTGGTAGCATCATTAAGTGGTTCCCAATTTACAACATTGGATGGATTAAATAGAAGGCTTAAAATGTTTTCACCCTTAAAAAAAAAGATTTTAAACTTGAAGAAGTAAAGTTTCATGTGTAGTATATGTTTTTGTTAAAGAGATTGTTTCACATGTTCTTCAAACATTTAGTATTAATGACATTGTTGCTGAACAATGTTCCAAACATTTTTTTTATTAGTTTTATGTTTTCACAAATAAAAACAATAGATCATACAATGTACTGCTTATAGTCTTACATCGGTATGCAAAGAAAAAAAAACAAACAAAAAAACAAAAAAACAAAAAAACAAAAAAACAAAAAAAAAAAAACAAAGGGGGGAAACCAGCGCCCAGTGTTACATTTATGTCAT